AGAAGTCCAGTTGACATACTGAGATGTTTCGCAGTGAAATTCATAACGTAAAGCTATTTATAAGATTAGTTAGAGTAGCTTTCGTGGTAATACTGGACAAGACCATTCCGTTTGAGGCATTTGAATGTTGCTGTTTTCTAACTGTTCTAACCAAATGAAGTGAATTAAATGAAAATGATTTGTTTAAATTTGCTGGTTTGTTATTCTCAGCAAGGCCTCTATATATTTCTCTATATATAGTGAATATTTTAGGAAAGGTATTTATATTTAAATAGCTATTTCATAGTTGTGTGTGTGTGTGTGTGTGTGTTTCGTTCCTGTGCTGTTTTGGTAAATGATTTATTGTAAACCGTTTGTGTCTGTGTGTGTTTATCAGTTCATGTTTTAACCCAGGATATCTTGTACTGTCCAAGTTACCCAATACACGTATTACCATTTATTGCTTAAATAAAAACAATATAAATTGTATTTTCAAGCATTTCCATCAAATTATCACTCCACCACTTCTAAAAAAGAAAAAACTGTGGTGTACCATAGTACTGAATGATGGTGTCAGATCAGATGGCAACACCTTGCTGTCATGTGTACCATTGTACTGAATGATTGCTGTACTCATGTCCATAGTATTTAAGTAGCCTAGTACTTCTAGATGCACAGCAGTACCATTGAACTTGTTTATTAGTACATGTAAAGTGAGACTCACTTTTGCTATATACCAGTCCCATGAGGTGATTTGATAGCATTGTTGTGAATGTTACAATGGAAGGTTATTTTCTGATTCAGCAATTACAGGACAATTTCCACTAATGATACACCTTTCACCATTGCTTATGTTGACTGTATGAATCAGTGAGTAAGTTATTACACAACAATTTTGTACATATGAGGTCCTTTGAACTGTTAGTAAACCGATCCCGCAGTCCATAATTAGCAGAAGTGGAGTCTTGATCTTGTGGTCTTGGCCTTGAAACCTAAATATTCTGTCATCGTTTACTCAGGAAGATTGAGATGTTTGGCAGAATGTTATCGACTGACAGCCTCAGTCACCATTTACTTGAATTTCTTGAAAGTGAATAGAGACTGAAACGGTCATTATGCCAAACATCTCTGAGTCCTACATTTTTGGAGCGACATGAAAATGAGTAAATGATGACAGGATTTCATTTTCTGGTGGACTGTCCCTGTAGTAATATGATGTCGGAGATCTCGGTGTCCAAGATTTTTTGAGTCTCTGTGTCACAATTAATTGAGTGGGTCTTTTTTAGTACACCGTTGTTTATTATAATTGTATATACTTGGTTGTGTTTAAGGTGACCCTCAGAATTTTGGTTATCCTTAGGGTTATTTTAGTATTATATACTATTATTGTATTTATAAATATTTTGAATTAACCTTTTCTTTTTATATATATATATATATATATATATATATATTTTTTTTTT